CACAGCTGCATCCCCACATTGGTCTGGGATGTCTGGCAGAGCAGGGAAAGGTCTCTCCTCTCTGCCATTCCCTATAGCCAGTGTCCATCCAGGGCACCCTGCCTTGCTGAAACTCCAGGGTCCAAGCCCAGTTTTATTCAGTGCCTCATAACCAAGAGGTCCTCTGAACCCAGCTGGGGAGGAGACAGGTTTCCATTGCTAAATTACCACCAAGAAAAGGACTGAACATGAGATTTACAGCCATCCAATTCCCCTTGCATGAATTCCAACTTGCAGTCGAGCCCTAGGCTTAAATCTAGCCTGGATTCAAGCAGTTACTCCTCAACCCATCCGTGGCTGGCCAGGAGATGTGAAGAGAGGATTGAGAGGCAGGAGAAAAATCTGCTGCTACAATGGGTCCCCTGGCTGCAGGAACTGAGCCCATTAGGCAAGGAAACTTGGCAGCCATCCCTACCTTCTCCTCAGTCTTACACAGACTAGACTGCGGTCTGGGGGATCACCTGCTCTATCCATGAGTGCACCTGCAAACAGCAGAGCATGTCTGAGCAGTTCGGTGCCATTCACTCAGACCCTGCTCAAGGGGTCTGCAAGAGTGCCCTAGCTAAGGCCCCATGGGGCAGCTTCTGGCTCTCCACCCTCACCTCTTCCTAAATCCCAGAAACAAGAGAGAGGACAGAGAGGAGAAACCTTTTCACAGACCATCAGATGGGATCTGCTCTCCTTTCTCCAGCCAACACACCTAGCAAAGAGCAGCAAGGACAGAGCACAGACAGCTCAACCCCTTGGCATCACCGAGGCCAACCAAGACTTGGCTGGGACCTGCTCTGCCTCATGGAAAGAGAGAACTGAAAGCAGAGACCCAAGGGGTCATTTCTCCTGATTGTTTTCTCTTTTACTATGTCTGGAGCCTTGTTGCAGCTGTCAGTGCTCAACAGAGTCCTGATCATACTCCTCTCGAACTGCAAAAAACCCCCACTAACCTCTTTCAACCTCAAGGGAGGTTTGAAGAGCAGCTGGCAGAGACCACTTCAATCTATCCATGCAAGCCAGGCCCTGAAGGCGCACTGAGGAGCCCTTCCTCATCTGCACAAGGTGCCCAGCCAGGACAGCAACACCTAACAGTCGGCCCCTGTGGGCTGTGTCTCACGCCGACACAACTCAACCCTGTCTGAACCGGGGCAAGCTGCACTGCTACAAGTCATATTTCTCAGCCTTAACTAGTGCTTTGCACCATGGCAGCTACAGTTGGCAATAGATGGCCAAAAGCCTCAGGTGCAGAAGAGAAGGATTTGGGAAATACGCTGTGCTGGCTTGACTAAGGGCTGCATCCTTCCCCTGCACTCTTCCCCTTCCTGCCCAGACTATTTTTCTCCCCCAGGGGAGCAAACGCTACGTGCTTCTGTTCTAGAAGTACTGGTGACCCGCCAGGTGTGATCAAGCACAACCACCACCTGAGCAGATGTATTTGCCAGCTAGACTTACTGTCCTCCTCCCTCACTGAGCAGTCCCTCTATTTTTTCAAGACTGAAGTAACCAGAAGCAGGAAGTTGCATCACTCAGTAAAGGTCACATTCCTTCCCCTTTTAGTCCAGATTTAGCACCAGTTTGAAGCCACAAGACTCAAGTGAATACTAGGCGAGACAACCACAACTTCTGGAGTGATGCAGGTTAGAGCAGAAGTGGGGTTTTGGTTAAATAATCCAATCTACTGCATGCCTGTCCTCTCCTATCTGAAGTCCTATAGCTCTTCCTGGAAAAGGCAAATAATTCTTTCAATGGCACCTCCAAAATTAGGGGTCCCCTAAATTAAGACTCATGGACTAGTGATCAACACAAAAAGTAGCCTCAAGGGGGTCTGGGAGACCCACTTGCATTTTTGGGAGGTTGCTTACAAGCTGCTTCACACAGGAACCTGTTGGTCCATGGGAAAACCGGAGGAGTGACAGGGCTAAAATCAAAGACTAAGCCTGTCTCAGCTTCAGCAACACACCTTAAGACTAACTACCCACTCACTCAGCAGCTCTAATTTTCCAAATCAGTAAACAGAAGTGGTTGTGGGATGTCCAACTTCAGGCATCCAAGATGGAAGAGGTGAGCATCCGAACGTGAGAGCCCCCATTCCCCCCGAGCACTCATGGAAAGCGAGATGGAGGCATAGGGGAGCGGACTTATTAATCTGTTATGAGGAGGGAAGGGGAGAGAGGTGGTGAGGGAGGTGGGACAGGCGGTCAACTGCAGCTCAGAAACAAACACTCCCCCAGAAAATGAGACCAAAAAAAAAAAAAAAAAAAAAACAACCAAAAAAAAAAACCATTAGCAGATGTTACCAGTGGTACCACTACTTCTAAGAAATAGTGTGTCCTTACCAAAAAGATTTGCAAGAATGTTTGTGGCCGAGGACCTAAGGTACTTGCTACAGAGATGTGAGATCAGAGGTCAGCTCAATCCTGCAACATAAAGGTGGCAAACCTGGGTCACAGCAGATCAGCAGCATGGTCAGGGTGCACGGAGTCAGGGAGAGGGACGGGACTGCCAGGGGAGAAGGATGCAGGACTGGGCTGAGCCGCTGCACTCAGCTCGCCCGGGAGCTTACCTGGCAGCAGCCCTGCCCCCTTACACCACCCGCGAGGCCTGAAATGAAAAGCTGCTGATGCTGCAGTGAAGATTTGGGGGGGTAAGCCAGCAACAAAGCAAGACAAAAAAAATTCACAAAGCTGCCTTAAAGAAATGAACAACACAAATATGGAAGAGAAGAAAATAAAGGAGCAGTAGGAAAAACACATCTGCCAATGGCCCTCAGTGTGGAAAGCTGCTGAGAGCCTCCAAGGGACCCAATGCCCAGGCACTGTCCATCAGTTCTAGGTGCACTGTCCTGCCCTGGGACAGCTCCAGACGGATGTGAGCAGCGATGCCTGGGAGATCCCACATGCCCAGGGAAGGTCCATCACCCCCTGGAGCCCGTTCTACAGTCCCGAGTACAAAACCCCTATCCCACTGCTGTCCATAGGCAACGTCCCCTCAAGTGTCCCCAGGTGATAGCAGGAGCATTTTTTGCCACAGAGGAACCAGCTCAAGGCCCTGTAGGACTCCTGGCCCTGAAAACCTGAGCAGCGATTGCTGAGCTGGTTTGGATGGAGCTGCTGGTGCAAAGGGTTTGAATTTGCCTGCTGCAGGTAGATTTTTGCATTGGTGCTTAGCAGGATCCTGAAAAGCAATTCCCATTGAGCCCCACAGGTTTCTCTCACAGTCACTCAGTTCATTCCACCACCACCCTCCCCAGGCGAAAAATACAGTGTCACTAACAGACCTGCTTAGCATTTCACAGGTTGGGGGCTTCAGGCACAATAAAGATATAACAAAAGGAAGAAAGCAAACAACATTTTTTCTGATGCCACCAATGCAGAATCAACCCCGTGCCAGAGGAAACTGGAGCTCGTTTCTGTTGCTGACCTCAAGAGCACAGAGCCCTTGCAGATCTTTGCCCCTGGCAGTGCTATAAGGCAGATGAAGCCCAAGACCGGATGACTGGGAGCCCAGAAGTCAGGGGAGAAGGAGAAGACATCTTTTGGTGGGAAGGTCAGGTTTGATGTGGAAAGAACGGCTGCAGGCTCGGCTAGTGAAGGCAGCCTGCCAGAGCCCCATGCACCACCCGAGCTTTTCTGAGGACCAGAGTGAGCATGTGTCAGCACCAGCCCTTGGGTAGGTCTCTGGATTTACACTGCCTACCACAATGCCCTGCTCCTGCCATGGAGACAAACCTTGGCCATCCCAGCTGCTGGCAATGCAGAGATGTTGCCCAAGGGCCTTGAGGCAAGGCTTGCCAGCAGGAGCATGCCTGACCCAGGGGCAGGGTACGGTCCCTCCATCCTTGCCCTCCCTGCTGCCCTCAAGTTTCCACTTGGTCCATGTCAGGCCTTTACACCATGCCAGTTGTGGTGGTACTTAGACCACGGCATCACAGGCAAGGGGTGACAAATTCCTCCAAATCATTCTAGGAGGTGCACACCACTGGGTGGAGAATTGGGTCCCACAGCCCTTGGAAGACCAATGGAGAGAACAACATCTCCCAGGCTTGGTGAGCCACCACTGGGAAAGCAGCTCACCCGAGAGGGAAGGGGTATGAGCTGCACACATCTGCTGGGGAGCAGCCTGCCACAAAGCCTGCTTGTAGGGCAAAACCCTTGGCTGTGGGGTTTGACACCTCTGGTTTAGCACAGGCTCTGCGTGCCCGTGGGCTGAAGGACTCCATCTGCATGTGGGCAGAGATTTCATACTGACAGCACAGACTGGCTTTGGATAGGGCTTTGCAGCTCGAGGTGCAAGGTTGGGGTTGATTTCCCTTGTATAGGCTGGGAAATCTTGAGCTAGAAAGCTTTTTTTTGGTAACAGGACAGGCTCTTTCTTGATGCAGGGCTCAAGATGAAACTTTAGCAAAAAGTGTGAGATGGATAATTGTCCATCTCTGTCAGGCCCACTACGTGGCAAATCCCCACCACAAACAGCTGAGGAGCCAGCCCTGTGTATGGACATTTCCAGTCTCAGCTCCATCACAGCGAACTCTAAAGCTCCACACTCACTTTGCTCCAGTATTTCTGAGCTATGCCCATGTCCTCAGTTTGGAGACCATCCACAGGGTAAAGGGAGGGGAAGTAGCTAGAGATCAGGTCCTCAACAGATGTAAATCAATGTGTTGCTAATGGGATCAGGGGAACTACACCAGCTTGCATCAGCTGAAAATTTGGTCTAAGCAGCCAGAGAAGGAGCTGGAACAGTTCCAAAGATATATAGGGCCACAGTGTCTCCATCTCCTAAATCAGCATGACTTTATTTGTTCTCATGTCTTCCTGGGTGGGAGATGTCTGGACCATGGTGCAATGAGACGTTGAGCCCAAGGCTACTAAGGTAGTATGGGGAGAGAGAGGTCTGAACATACCCAGCTTTCCTCAAGACAGTGCCAACCAGATGGCCTTGTGCAAGAAGAAAAAGGAAACTCAAGTTACCTTTGTTCTTCCTCGAGTTCTTCTTTGGTCATCATTGACTTGTACTGGTTTCCCCTCAGCTTTCCAGGACTGTATTTAAAAGAGAACGTCTCATCTGCAGCTGGAGAGGGAGAGACAAAGACGAGCAAGAGATCACATGAGCCAGAGACCTCCTGAGACCAATGATCAACAGCACTGAGCTTGTTCTCTTGAGATGCTCATTGACCCCCTGCTCCTGCACATGCATCCCAAACATTATGGCCACCCCAAACACTTTTCCTCAGTCAGCTCCAGTCTCCGGAAAGCCTGGGAATTGTTGGGGAAGCTGTGTGGATTGCAGTGGGGAGCCAAGCTGCTGCTGGCCAGACGATGGCAAGAGTCCTGGCTGCAGCTAGCACTGGAAACAGTGAGGACCGCTGCAAGCAAGCAGCCCTGCTTGGAAGCAGATACAAGTAAATCCTACAGCACAGGAACCATATGCTATTGCTCTCCCTGGATTCAAAGCCTTGCAGGCCCATCTTGGCTTATCGAGACATGCTAATCCTGCCCTGATTAGCTCACAGCATTTTCCACTTCTCCTCTCCAGACTTGCATTCCTCCTCCCTCCCTCTCCTAGTCCAGGGGCCCTTTCCCATGCTTGGGGCTCAAGGATGATGCCACGAGCAGAGCTGTCGCAGGCCATGCAGCCCAGCAGCTCACCTGCAGCCCTTGACAAAGCTTGTGAAAAAAAGGAGGTGCCACACTGCAAATCCCGGGGCTGCAAACAGAGCTGAGCCAAGGCAGCCCCAGGAGCACCAACACAGCTAGTCCAAATCCTTCTGTCATCAGCCAACACACCTGAAGAGGAAACTGAGGTCTCCTTCTCCAGGCCTGGGTGCTCTTCTACCCAGCTCACCAGCCTCAGCCCTGTGCTAATTAGAGCACCAAAGCTCACAGACTCTGAGCCAAAGCCGATCCTTTTCCAATCGGATTTTGTTCAAGCACTATTTGCTTTTAAAAACCTCTCCCCTGCTTTATCTTCCTACAGATGGGAGAAAACAACAGGAGTGGAGGTCAATCCAAAGGGCAGCCCAGGAAGAGCGGCTGCTTTGGGTAGTTGCCTTTGTTGATTATCTGTGGGCTGTTCATCTGCAAGCCTTTATCTCCCAAGGACTGCAGGACTCAGCTGCTTCGTGTCGAGCCATCTAGCATTGCTGTTTCCACATCCACCCAGAAACATCTGCTGCTTCCACCAACCCTCGTAGCCCTGGTGATACTTCTACGGGGTCCACAAAAGGAAGGCATTATTGTGTTATCTGCATGGCCCTGAAAAATTGAACATTTTTCCACAAGCCAGATATCCAGGATGATACCTCCCAGCACCAGCAAGACCACAAAAGTGGTGAGACTCCCCTGACTTCTGTGGTAGGAGAGAAAGCCCCAACTTGTACATAACCCATGGACCCATCCCCTGTCCCCAGCCACCTAGGAAACCCCTTCCAATCCTCACTGCTGCTGTTGCAGGCACCACATTGATGAAAGTCTCTCCCCCTCCACCTGCCCAAATGAAAAACAACCCACAGCCCCTATCCTCCCTTCCTCACACTCAGAAGGATTCAGCATCAGCAGCTTCTCTCTATTTTCTGGTCAATATTGCCTTTAAGGATTTTCTCCCCATGCCCAAGGTCAGCTGTTTGATTTAGTGATTTCTCCAACCCTAAACTCATGCATGCCCTCGGCTACTGCCAGAGCTCTCGCAGACCTTGGGGACCCCCCTGCAAAAGGCAAGTCAGAGCCTCATTTTGTAGATGGGGAAACCTGAGATCTCAAAAACAAGCTGTGCAAGGCTGTGTAGGCAGGTATGGGACCGAGTGAGCCAACCACTGCAAGGTCACTGCTGCTAGTGTATGCAGTGTGCCTGGAGCAATGGTAGCAGGGTGGGAATTCAACAGAAACCTCCCTGCAGATATCCACATTTCCTCCCTTCTTCTCTATATCTCCATGTCCCTGATCTTGGGGAGCTTCCCTGGGAAGCCTGAGTAGCTTACTGCTCAGTTAATGATCTGGAGTATTTCTCTAATCCCAGAATACTATTGGGACTCCAGGGGGAACAACGAGGCAAACCCTTTCCCTAGCATCTTCACAAGTGCCCAAACACAAGCACTCGGATGCTCTGCTCCTGCAGCCCCAAACATTCAGCTTGGCCATATGCCACTTCCCTCGGTGGGAAAACCCTCTGAATGGGCAAACAAGCCTGGCCAGCTGGAAACAAGCATTCATGCTGCGGCTTATCAGCCTTTTGGGTGGCCATAAAAGTGCATGGAAAGAAAATTCAGCTGGCTGCTGCTTTGGGAGATATTAAGAGAAAGAAAAAAAAAAAAAAGAGGGTGTAACATCCTGTTTCTTACTCTGATGCAGAGCAGGAGCTGTTTCATTACCTTTGTATAGCTTGCTTGATTTCAAGGACAATTAAGATCATTTCCCTCATGTGGTTTTCTGCCAAGTAAGTTGAGATTTGGGATTTTGCCTCTCCCAAAAAGGGCAGTTTAATTGCCACCCCGACAGAAAAGAATAAAGGAAGAGTGAGGCGAGGAAGCTACCCACGTCCCTGCCCACATGTTGTGGTTAAAAAGGAGCCAGCATGTGGCTTTGGAAACCACTGGCTCTTTTCTGAGCTCAGGAACTTTCTTTGCAGACTGAAAACAAACTTCAGGAAACACAGAGAAAAGGGGAGGCTGGGTTTTCACGTGGACAGCGAAAACACTACAGAAATATGAGGTGACCTACTTACTCAGAGCCTCCGTGAGTTCATATTAAAGAAAACATTTGTCTTTCATCTCTCTGCCCTTGCATTGCTGGCACCGTGACCCTGAGCTGGCAGGGAGAAAGCAGCCCCAAGAGCGCACCTCTCCCCTGAACGTATTCTGGCGTGCTCCACATGTGGTTCCTGCCAGCTCCCTGCAAGCCTTCCTGCCCAAAGCGGGGAGAAGGCTGCTCTGGTGGTTTTGGCCACTGTGGCAGCATCCCAGGCTGGTGACAGACTGCCTGCACGATCCCCACATGCCCAAGGGGAATCTTTGCTCGCAGGCTTGCCGGGCAGCAGCTCAGCGGCTTGAGTTGGGCCAGGACCAGGCGACGTGCAGGAGAGACAGTGAAGGAAGGCGTGAGGTTGCTCCCCAGCAAAGCCAAGGCACTGCTATTATTCCCAGCTGCACAACGCTTGCCTGCTCATTATCAGGCTGAGCCATCGCTTTACCCAGTTCCATTATAAAACACTTCAGAAATGGTGTAAATAATTCAGGAGAGGAGTCAGTGGCTGTCTGCAGGAGATGCTTAAGGATGATGCTGGGCTAGCCACGACACATGGCCAGGGACCATCATCTCCTGATCCCAAGCCACAGCCACTTTGGGGTAGTGCACAGTGGTGCTGGAGCAGCCCTGAAACAGAGCTGAACTGAAGGAGGCAGATCCTGGCAGTGCAGTGTTACTGAACATCCATTTGGCAGGATACAACCATCATTCCTCAGACCAGGTCTCCCACAGTCCTGCATGGTAACATCCCCAATCACCAGTGCTGCGAGGAAGCCTAATGGGGTGGAATAAGTGTCTTTTGGGAACCCCGCCTCCAAAGGTGCTTTCCCCACCTTGTGGGCACAGCACCAGGATTAAAATTTCATTCTCTGTGGCATTAGGCATAATCCTCCCGAGCCAGGGGATTGCCACACAGTGCCTTAAAAAGGGCAAGCGGAAAGCGGGGCAGGGAAGAGGGAACCCCCCAAGCTCTCCTGCTGCTCCCAGCCACCCCAGGCAGGGGCTCCTGGGGACACCCCAGCATCTCCAGTGCTGCTCAGATGAGCAGAGTCCCCTTCAGACACACACTCTTGCTTGGCACCATCTGTTTCATTTTCTTACGAGCACAGCAGTTGTCACCCCAATTAGTCAATTAATCATTTTCCAATCAACTAATTGGCTAATCAGTTAAACACGGCTCTGACTAAAGCCCCTGGAGATCGTCCTGGATGCGAGCAAGAAGCTTTTGGGGCAGCTTCATCACAAAGCTACCCCATGGCAAACAGCCCAAGGGCATCTGGGGAAGCAAACAGGGGCTGCAGCTGGGGTAGGAATTTCCCCTACATTTCCTGGAGGAAGGAGACCATCCCCAAGCACTCTGGGCTTCAGCCCCTCAGACCCATCCGTACCCTCCTGCAGGGTGCTGGCTTGCCTGGCACTCACCATCCTCATCCTCCGGCTCTCTCACCACCAGCTTCTCGTTTTCTGAGTCCAGATCTTCCTCCTGGAGGAGTTAAAAACAGAGCAGCCATGAGAAAGGGCTATGCTAAATAACTTGTGCTCTGTTGGGGCACCAGAGCCTGCAGGGCAGGGAGGCAGAGACCAGAGCTCCTGTGGTGAGGGCTGAGTACCCCTTTCTTGCCTCCTTCATGGAATAGGCCAAAACGATGCTCACTAATGAGCGAGGTTCATCAGCCTGCTTTCCTCTCAGTAGTTAGTGGGGAGGGATTTGGCCTTGCTTACTGCACTCCCACCCAAAGGCTGCAAACTGCAAGTGCCTCCCCATAATCGAGGAGATATTAAGGTTTTTACGAAGAACCTGCTATCCTGGTGTCCCCAGGCACAGTCTTGTGCCTGACCACCCTCTCAGACTGGCACCCCCCGTACTCCCCACCTTGCCCAGGGATGTGCAGGGGACTGAGCCACTAGCCATGAGAACTTCTCCAGTATGCCCCCAGGCCAGGCTTGGACAGACTGTCCCAACACTAGGAAAAGCTGGGTCCTCAGCAAAAGCCACCTTGCAGCCACGGGCCAAGCGGCTGCTCCGAAGTACAGAAGCACTCACTAGCTGAGACCAGTGCTCGAAGCCAGCGCTGGGAGGTTCATGCTGGGACCCTGCCAGGACCCCCCCCAGCCTCGCCTGGCAGCAACCCCCAGAGACAGCTCTGGCCCATGGACCCCCAGCTCCTCTTTGCTCCTCCAAGAAATGCCTGCCCACATGCACTGTGGTGGCACAGCTGACCTCTGGAGCACAGACAGGGTCAGCAACAGCACTTCTTTTTTTTTTAAATGCAAAGCAGTTTTGGAAGTCTTGGGGGTTGCCTCCTACAAGCTACAACAAACTTTATCAAGCCCAGATTCCTTCCCCTTGCAGAAAGTCATGCAAACTGCAAGCAGGGAGGGAGAGGAGCGCTCCAGCTCTGGAGATAAGACAGGAACACAAGGTAATGCCCCCGTGTACATTCCTTCCTCCCGCAAAGCGCAGCACCCAGCACCCCAGCTGCAAACCCCTGTGGTCAACAGCACCCTGGAGCACACGTCCTCCTGCATCCTCCCCAGCCCCGTGCATCCCATTCAAAGTAATGGGGCTGGCATGCAAAGGGAAAAGCATGTGGGAGAGAGGGAAAGGAGCATGAAGGGAGCCTGGCGAGCCACCATGCTATCGAGGGGGACACAGGAAAAGTTGGGGTGGAGGAGACCCGAGGGAAACGAAGACGATCTGAGAAGGACCCTGCGCAGAGCCGAGCGCTGGCTTTGCGGTGCATGGCTTTAGATAAACTGCTGGAGCGCTGTATGCAGCCCCAACCCAGAACTAGGTTAGTTTGTCATCGGTGAGGAATGCGCATTATTCACAGCCATTTGGCTTCTTCTCGCCACCCTGCTCTCGGGCTCCCCAGAAGGACATGCTGCTGAGACCCCCACCCCCTGCAGCCACCACTATTTTGGGCCACGCTTCCAAACATGGGCACTTCCCGCTGGACACCCAGGTGTCCCCTGGGGACAACTAGGAGCAGGGAAGCACCCAAAGGAGTCACCTCAGGGAGGGACTCAGCCACAAGCCCGGGGCAGCGGCTCCCCATCACATCCATCTCTCCCTGTGAGCCAGAATGCCCCCAGGAAGACCTGACCTTCAGGACCTGGTACAAGAAGGGACATTTTAGCCTGTTCCCTGCCCAGGCGTTAAGAACTGAGCATTTAACAGTGGAAGCAAGTAGGAAATTTGGGTGCTAAACCTCCAAGGAAGGAAAATATCTCCACTCCAACCCAGAGGATGAAACATTTGATGGGAGCAGAGAGGGAGCAGCCGGGGATGCCAGGCTGGCAGGTGACAGCAACGTGCCGTGGCTGTGCTGGGAACCCCCCACTCGTGGCAGCTGGTAGCTCGCTGCAGCGCGACACATTTTTCTGCTTGGATGGTTTAGAGGCAGATGCCAGCACCTCCCTTCCCTGCATGCTGCGGCCCCAGCCTCAACATCCCCGTCTGTCTTCCTCGCCGGGGCCGCTCACTCCCCTGCACCCGCACCCATAGCTGCCCCACCACCAGAGCCCCCCAGGCTGCCTTAGCGTGACCCCACTCCCTGACCCTCCCAGGAGCCAGGCATCACTCCCTGCACATCCGAGAAGCACATTTGCACCTGGAGCACCGTTTCTCTCTGCTTTAAATGGACCAAGCCATTAAAAGCCCACCCAACCCCCCCCGGGGGAGCACAGCAGGCAAGCTTTGTCCCCTCCCATGGCCACCGCTACCCTGGGACACATCCCATCCATGCAGGGACACCAGCACACTGTTCACTGTGCCACCCTCACCAGGCCAGCTCTCTGTCCCACGCACCTCTGCCTTGGTGCCTTGGAAAGCTGCCTTGGAAAGTGCTGCATGGCCACATCCATCCTCCACTTGTTCCGTGTGCCCGAGACTGGACCCAGGCGAGGCACCCAAAGGTGGTATCTGGAAAGAAGCAAAAACTTTGAGCACAAAGGTCCCCGAGCCTTCCCCGTCCTCAATCAACCAGCCCCGGCAGCATCAGCACACGCAGGCAAATCTCCAAACGCGGCCAGCAGCCTGCCTTGCCCTGGTGCCCGAGCCCATGGTGCCTCCGATCCGCGTGCCAAGCCATGGCATGGCTGGTGGAGCGAGGAACACCGGAGACCTTCAATGCCCGGCCCTAGAGCCAGGGTTTGGAGGTCATGAGCTGCCCTCTGCAGCATTCCCATCCTGCAAGACTGGGACCCTTGCAAGGAGCCATCGGTGAGAGGGAGCAGCTTGGCCAGCACAGGGCTCGGCTTCCTGGCTGTCCTGGCAAGGCTGGAGGCAGCTGCCCACGATGCTGATGCAGCAGGTCAGAGCTAGCAGGAGGGGAGAGGAGAGGAACGGCACGATATGCTCAGTTCGTTAACGCTTGCAGGGCCTGCTCTGCCAGCTGCCTTCTCCATTGCAGAGTAATACCCCCTTGAAACCCTCCCGTCCCCCCACCGTAATCCCAGAGCTGGGGCTTCCCTGCCCTCTCAGCCCCATGTCAGCAGTGAACACAGAATGGCCTCAACCCCCATGCAAAGCCTTCCTTCCCCTGCCCTCTCCCAGCACATACACTTCTCAGCTGAACCTCTCTCCCTTGCGCCGGGAGGGCGGCTGCGGAGGAAGATACGCGTGGGCAGGGAGCGGGGACATTGTGTCTGTTGGCCTTGCAGCAAAATACCAGTGCTGGGCTGGGAGCAGCCTCTGGGCTGGCTTAAAAAAAAACTATCAGCAGGGACAAAACCCCCACCCCGAGCCTGGCTGGTGCCCACAGCCCCTGCCAGCTGGGGCAGAGGGGAGAGTGTTCCCTGCTTGGAGCATCCCAACACCTCCAGGGGGTCTGCCCCAAATTTCAGGGCTCCTCAGCCCTGCCATGGCCGGTGGGAGCCTTGCTGTGCTGGCTTCCTTGCCGCCGTGGGGCAAGAGCAGCCGAGCTGGCAGCTGCTATGCCCCCGCCATGGGATGCTCTGCAAGAGGAGGGCAGCATCCTGCAGCCAAGAAACGGAGGGGGAAGGTGGTAGGGCAATGCTGGGAGACTTGACAACCAAAGAGGACACTACGGCACCCCAGGCACTGCTCTTTAAGAAGCGCAGCCCAGGGGCAATGCAGGGAGACTGTTTCAAGTGGTAGGGAGCGAGGGAAGTGTGGACCAGGGCCAGATGGCAGCAGGAGCTGCTGGAGAAGCAGGGACCCAAGTGCTCCGGCCACCAACCTGCAAGCCAGCATCTCTCCATGGTTGCACATCGACCAAGAGAACCTCCCCGCAGAAAAAAAAAAAAAAGGTGACAAGAAGCACTGCAGGGAGACGACGCACATCATTATCCGGGAGCATCTGGAGGAGACTTGACACGGGCCGCCCAGGCCAGCTGCTGCAGCAAACAAAGATCACATTGCTGCCGGCATCAGTAAGGGGACGAGTTCGGCGGCAGCTGCCTGGCCCCGAGGCCACGCAGGGCTGGGAACATGCCCTGCACTCCCTGCCTGCTCCCACTTGTGGGCAGGGTGGACCCAGCCCACTCCACAGCACATCCCGTGTCCTCTTACATCTGAATCATACCTCTGCACAGCTTGCCAGGGGCTCTGGAAAACCCAGCGCCTGCCACCGCGGGGTTAAAATCCAGAAAGTCATTTACTTTAAATACCAACGTAGCAATACATCTGTCTTGGCTTTTGGCAGCTCTTGGCTTTAGAGCTGAAGCATTTGTTGGATCATCGGAAACGTGCTTTTGCCCTTTAGCTTCCATAGCCAACAAGCGAGAAGCCTGCGCGTGAAGCCGACTCTGGCAGTGGAGGCTTTGGACCAAAACAAGAGTGAGGACGAGACCTCCAGGGACATTTTGGGTATGGGCAGCACTGACCACAGACAGTCCCGAGTCTCCCAGGCGAGGACGGCTTAGGCACAGGAGCTTGGCATTGCATCCCCAAAATCCCCCCTCGTGGCTCTGCCACCGCGTGAGCCCTCTCCCAGCCCTACAAGAGACGGAGGCCAGGCTCCCCATCACAACATCATCTGGTTTTCAGCTCATTTCTGGCCGTTTCCTCCCCACTTCCTCCATCCCCGGTGCAAACCCCTCTGAGCAATGGGTTTCCCTTCTCAGAAGGGATGTGGGGACGGTGCGGGGCCAGTGTGTCCCTCTCCCCGTCCTCGGTCATAGGGACAGCCACGGTGTCTACGGGCAGGATGAGGACAAATGAGTGTCCCACTCCAGCTCCAAGAAGAGGGAAGATCGCAGGCTACAAAGCAGGGGGAGAACATGGTCTTGGATTAAACTCCCGGCCCCTGCATGTTGCCATTTATGGCTGCACTTTCTGCTCCAAGCCTGATGCAAGATGTTGCAAGAGGGAAAGAAAGCAGACAGGAGACAGCCAGCCAGAAGGAGAAAAGCCAGGAGGAAAGGGGGAAGGAAGAAGCCTTTAAAAAAAGAATAAATAATGATTTTGGGCAGAGTTTAGCAAAGCAAAGCAGCTGCTACGTCGGCAAGTCCCTTTCACCCCACTGCTGCGGCTCTCCGTCCTCCCACCAGCCAGAGAAGCAGCTGCTACAGAACGAGTTTTCCTGCCCTGGGCAACGGTCCTGCCAGCCCCGGGGTGCCCAGCGGGTACATGCCGCACGCGAAGGTGGTGCTTTGCAGATCTGACCCCCGCCACAGCGTGGGGAGCATCTGCTCCCACCCGTCCTCCCCATTACCGCTGTGGGCAAGGATGAGCCATAGGGCGGCTAGAGCCCTACCGAAGCTCCAGGGCCATCCAGCCCTCAGCGAGGGGTCAGGCAGTGCCAGATCTGATGAGAAAAACCCCGGCACGTCCCATAGTGGCCTGAGGAGTCCTGGCTCAGCAGCACCCATCTCTGCAGGCACCAGCACACACCAGTGAAGCACTCCCAGCACTGCACCCAGCCTGCTCATCCGCTGCTCTCCCCTTTTTGCTCTGGCCTCCGGCAAGCAAACACCACAGGCAGCAACACCGGGACATCTCTTGCTGGCACAGATGAGCCAGCTGGCATCCTTGGGCAGGGAGCAGGGGCAGGCAAAGCCTGCCCTCACCTCGAAGGCTTACCTGGCACCCATTCACATGGGTGGGCACTTCAGAAGGCAAAGACTCCTTGTGGCCTCTGCTCCAGCAGCCGACTGGCTCCGGGCAGGCTCCCGGGGCTGTATTCAGCCCAGAAGGGACTGAGCAGCAGCCCAATCTCCCAGACCCACTGTAAGGGACGCAACGTAAAGCCCCAACGCAACTGTGCCCCACACCGCGTCCCAGCACCAGCCCTGTGCTCCGACCCCACGGCTGGGATGCAGGGAAGGGCACGACACGTGCACAGGCTCCCTGGGGGGGTGACACACGTCCTGCCTCGCTTCCCAATTTGCAGCCACTGCAAGAGATGATGCGTTTGTTATCAACACAGACTGCACTGGGTGAGAGCTGGGGCACATCTGAGCAGTTACAGGTCTGGCCGGAGAGTCCTGCATCCTGCTGGCAGGGGCCTGTGCCACTGCCAAGGCTGTGACAAGGGGTAGCACATCTTGGCATCCCTCCCCACCACGCTGTGGGACGGCAGAGCTCCTGCCCCAGCCCTGTGGCAACGCAGAGGCAGGTTGCACAGTTGCCAATTAAAGCCAGACTAATTAGACACCCTCTCCCCTCTGGCACGGGGAGGGCAGTAGGAGGTATTAGAGAGGGAGATGCTGACTTCTTAAATTTAAAGAGGGTCCCTGCTGAGAGCTGGGTGGTTTGTGCTTCTGCTGCCTGGTGTGTCCAGAGGTGCCAGGAGCCCCCGGGAAGGCATAGATAGGGGTGGGGGAACACAGGGGAAAGGCGCCAGGAGCTTTGCAGAAGAGGCAGGCGACATCCCCTTCGTGCCTTTGCTATCCAGGTGACAGCACCACACGCTGCCCCGGTCAGGCAGCGTTTGCATGACTCTCTGGCCAGGGCGAGCTGGGCACCTCTGAGTACAAGTCCTCCCCTGCCAGATCACCTCCAGAACTGTCCCCTCTCTCCCCACTGTCACCCACTTGACCCTGCTCTCTTTGAAGCCACCAGCTGCGGTTAACCCTTGGCAAACCAGCCAGGCTGCCGTGCCCAGCAGAGCCTGGCACTGCCTGCTCGCCCTCCCCATTTCCAGAGCATCCTGGCCAGGATGGCATCCCAGCAGTGGCTCTGGACCACCACTGAAAACCCTGCCCTGTCCCTGCCATCTGCCATTTCCAGGACAGAAATACTCATTAAAGAATTGAAGTTTTCTGACCATTTCTCGCAAGAACCAGACTCAGCAGCTCTAGCGACACTGTGGTTCCCACCCAACAGCTTTTCATTAGGGGATCGCTTTGACAGCACTGCCTCATCCGTTAACAAGCTGGGGACGGGGATGAGAACAGACAGCGACACACTAATTAACTTTTTTTCAGTGATGGGAGCCAGCACAGACAAGGAGAATCACTACCAGCAGTTAATGGAAACAAGAACTCCTAGGCTCCTTTCCCTGCTGTGCCACCACCTCATTTTATAGCTGTGGGCACAATGCTGCAACGGTCCGTTCCTCCCAGAGAGGGGCAGGGAAACCCCAACCCACATTGATTTTAACCAGCCGGTTTCACATCACAGGCTGCCCTTGTGGGAGGTGGGAGCAGGAGGGAAGTTGAGCTACGCAGCTGCCCCAGTAGATACTGGTTTGCAGAGGCAGGGAGAAGGGAAGGAAAGAGGTAGCGGGGTGCACAGCTCCAGCCAGCCATTAAACACACCAAGGCTGCTCTTCCCAAGTAGGTTCATCCATCAGCATTTTGGTCGAGTGGTTAATGGCTGCAGTGAATCCGAACCAGCCTGGCGCAGTATGTGCTAAGCAAACAGGAGGGGGAAAAAAAAAAAAGAGGCAAGAAAGCTCTCCGAGTGCCGAGCACAGCCCTCTGCTTGCTAATGTATCGAGAAGCCCTGAGCCTGCAGCAGCTCTGACACCGCCGGGAGCCCGCAGCCGAGCGGACAATGTCTGGGAGCCTCGCCTGCTGAGTCACATCAGCGGACTGCAGCCCTCAGCTGAGCCAAGATGGGTTTGATAGGGCGCTTTTCCACCAGCAGCCGCCTGCAAAGCACTCGCTGCTCTGCCCAAGGTCAGTCCCATCCCTGCCTGTAACATCTGCTGGGCTTTGGCCTAAGCACTGCTGGAGGAGAAAGCAACTTTGAGGATATTTGCAGGGAACAAAACCGGGGGAGCCAGTGGAGACTCAGCAGAGCTGTGGAGGGTCTCCCCCACTCCGCCCGCAGGATCAGCTCCCACATCAGCAGCCCGGGCACTGCTCCCCGCTCACATGTGTGCGGCGCCTGCTGGAAACGCACGTACTCCCTCCGCCGTGCCACCCAGCACCGTGGGACCGCCAGCCCCGGCCAGGCAGCCTGTGCTGAGCAGTCCTGGCAGCCGCGAGATCACGCGCGGGCCAGCGCTCCCAAACACTTACTCAGCAGCGAGAAGCATCCCTCCCCCTTCCCACTGCTCTCCACCACCACCCAGATCGCAGCCACCGCCCGGTCCCTGTCCTTCCCAAAGAGGCACTGCTTAGGTCCAGGGCAACTTGTCCTGTCTTGCTCCTACAGTGCGGTAACCATTTCCCAGGAGGAAAAACTGGCAAGGACCCTACTCAGCTCTCGTGTCCCCTTTGCCCTGCTGTAAGAGGGGCTGAGGGCAGTGCAGCAGAGACCCCGGTCCCACCAGGCCCAGCCAGGCTCCTGGAGGACACAAGACTCCCCGTGCCTTGGGTAAGGGCTCACCTCCAGGCATGCAACACCCCGTTACCGCACCTGCACCCAAGTGGGGATAAAAGAGCTGAGCCCATCTCCGAAGGCAACAAGCATCGCAGCGGTGCCTTTTCAAAGAAATTGGGACTGAAGAGCAGCCAGAAGGGAAGAGAAACATTCCCAAGAAGACTCAAGCTAACGAGACAGCAGAGGAACCCGTGAGCTCTGGCAGCACTGGATATGGCCATCTGTCCTGATGGGGTGCTGCACTTCATCAGAGAGTGCTGGGTATGCCCCAGGCCCCACAACAGCTCCGGCCAGGTGGCCAGTTTTAGTGCCGAGCTAGCCCAGCCAGGACCCAGCCGGCTAACGGCAGCCCAACGGCTCTCCAGCTTGACAGAGATCCTGGTACTCAAAGGCACCAATAAATCACGGGGCAGAGGGACAGATGTGGCTTCTGGGATGCCGGGACGAGGGAGGGGGCTGCTTGAGAGCCATACCCATGGCCAAGGGGTGTGGGGAAGGGGAGAGCTCCGAGCCTCAGAAACGACAAGGGGAGGCAAGAAGAGCACAAGGAGACAGACCCACGTCCCAGCCCTGAGAGCAGCTCAGGGCTCACCCTGGGCGTTGCAGAGCATCACGGTACAGAAGGGAGTGCGCAACCCCCTGGGACTTGCCCAAGGCCGTCCAGCGAGTCAGTGGCGATGCTTTCCAAGGCGAGGGCTGTCTACGCACTGCCCGGCAGCCTGGATACAGTCGCTGAGGATTACAAATGCTGCTAATAATAGCCAGCAGGCGCCTGGGCCCCAGTCCTGCGCTCCCTGGCTGAACCACGCTGCCTGCGCACGGACGACGCATCGCTTCTGGATTTCTGAGCCACCCCATTACTCACTTCCCCCCATTGGGACAAGGGGCCACCCTGGGAGAAAGGCACCAACGCAGGGAATTCAGGCACCTTGGGTTGTCACCGAGTCCCACGCGAGCCGGGCAAGAGGAGAGCAAGGTTTTTCCACGGACGCTGGGTCACCCTTTTATTCTTAAGATCCAGTGCCGGAGGAGGATTTACTGGGTGTTTATAGGCATCGCTGCCCCCCCCAGCCCCCCCCCAGTTCAGCCAGGGGTCAGACCTTGGGGCCAGCGTCCTGCTGGGGTTGGGAGGGAGGGGGAAGGCAGTCCCTTCCCCTGGGGCTGGCGAGGACAGCCAGCCGGGGACAGCGTAAGGGAACCTGGTGCTGGCAAAGGGACAGTTTGCTGCAACCCACAGAAAGAGGATGTAGACGGGAAGAATAAACACCCCCAACCCGCCAGCACCTGGATGAGCTCTTGGGAGAAGGAGAAGACTCCCAGGGGCTGGATATGCAGACAGGAGAGCTCACACCGACACACGCCTCTCTTCCCTTAAATGTTCGCTATCTTGATTATTTTTAAGAGTATACCTCGGGGG